AAACTTGCATAAAACAGCTGAATAGTAGCCAAAATAGCAGAAAAAAAATTAAATTAGCAGAAGAAAGCAGAAAGAACACGTTTGCCAATGAGGCTGAAAGAAGCAGAAATGAGCACAAAATAGTGTAAATTATCTGAAAAAACAAGAAGCTGAAATTAGCAAAAGAAACCAGTTGAAAAGCAGCTACAAAAACCAGAAAGAAGCTTAAATTACCAGAAGGAAGAGGAGAGCAGATTTTTCCTGAATTAGGCTGAAAAAGTTGAAATGAGTGCAAATGTGGAATTAGCTGAAAAAGCTTAATTAGCATAAAACGGCTAGCTGAAAAAGCAGAAAAAGCTGAAACGCGGAAATAAGCTGAAATGAGCAGAAAGAAGTTAGAAGAAGCAAAAAAAAAAAAATGTAGTTAGCAGAAATAATCTGAAAGGAGCACAAAACAGCTGAAAAACAGCTGAAATTAGCTGAAAAAAGTTTAAATTTTCACAAGACAGCTGAAAGAAGCTGAAGCAGAACAAAATGTGAAAGGAGCAGCAAAAGGTTGTAAACAGATCTAAAGATCTGAAGGGTTAAAATGAGCTCAGTTCATTTTGTATGAGAAAAAAAAAATGACAAAATATATCATAAAGCTAAAGCTAAACCAATACCAAAAGTCATATTAGGATCGTCATGAAAGAGCTGAACGTTTTTTTAATGACTTGTTGAAATAGCTGAAAACTGCAGGACGAGAAAGACGACAAAAGAAAAATGGATCACAGTAGTGTGAATGCTGCATAAACGTTCACACAATAACACACAACGAGGGCTTTTAAGAAAAAACACGAGCAGAAATTAATCCTACACGGTTACTCCTCGCATAAATCAACTAATGTGCAGTGAGCATCCAGAACCTGAGAATCTCTGTCTGCCTCCAGGAAAGAATGAGCGCCGTTCACCTGAATTAGAAATTTAACCCACATAGTACGGCCCTATAGTTAGCTGCAATTCGTTTATAGAATTCCTGAAAGCACATTCGAAGCTGGAAAGCTGGGGTCAAAGAGCCCCAGATAAAATGCTCGTCTCAGTTACTCAGAGTTATTTCTAGGAGGCACGCTCCCGTGTTCATGCGTCTCACGTTGACCTAGTTTAACAACTTTCATAAACTGTCTGTGCGCACGTCCTAGACAACCTGAAGGCTTCAAATAAAGAGCATATGAAATGTACATTAAGAAAACAACCCCCCTAAAAGTACAGGAGGTGTCGGTCCGTGCATTCGGAGTGAATACGTACCTATGTGTCAGGCCTTAGGGACGAGGAGGGAACAGAGGTGCTCCTCAGTCCAGGAGCAGAAGGATTCATTCAAAGTGTCGTGCTGTGAGAGACTGCCGACAGACTGAGGGATGGACCCACAGGAGAACTTTAAATAAAATGACTTCAATCACTCACAGTGGGAATTATTATATATTTTAAACAAAGAGCTGCACGTGGAAAAGGGGCAGGAGACGGGGTTAATGTTTAGAACGAAGATGCTCAGCACCAAGTCTTCTCGTGGTTTTAAAGCCCACGGAGAAGGAGGAGACAGGCGATGAACTCAAGAAACAAAAGATGAAATCTGATTGGTTGGTGCTCCTGTTTGCAGCCCATACGCTGCCTTTAATACCCTTTAATCTGGTGTACACATCTGAAGACGGCCCTGAAGGCAGGTCCACTCTGGTACCTCCTGCTGCACATGACCAGCTCGTTTAGAACCCCCTCCCTCCGTCTGGTTTAGGCTCAGGAACATGCTGCTCTTTTTTCCACCCGCTCATGTCCACTGTTTCTTTTCATTCAGTCTAGAAGAGTCAAGACTTTTTTTATCTGTCACAAACTTGCTGCGTTTCCTCGATGTACAAGATGAACGCCAACAGGATCCTGAAACTCCCACAACGTGAAAGTTATTGGATCTGCACCAACAAACTTTGGTCCAAACTTTATCACTATGTCTCGTTAGGTTACTTGTAAGAATAAAGGTAGAGATTATCTTTTTAAACCACATTTCCTGCAAAAACGCTGAAGAACTTGCTGCAAAACAGCTGAAATTGGCTAAAAACATGCTGAAATGTAGCTGAAATGGAAGAACAAGCCTAAATTAGCCGAAGAAAGCAGAAAGGATACATATTTGCTGAATTAGGTTTAGAAATGAGCACAGAAATTATGAAATTAGCTAAAAACGCTGAAATTAGCAAGCTGAAAAATAGCAGAAAAGGTAGAAAGAAGCTTAAATTACCTGAAGGAAGTGGAAGGAGCTGAAAAGAGCATAAAAGGTGGAATTAGATGAAAAAACTAAATTTAGCACAAAACAGCTAAAAAGTAGCTGAAATAGTAGAAAAAGCTGAAACTAGCAGATAAAAAAAGGCTGAAAGGCACATAAGCTGAAATTAGCAGAAAGAAGTTAATTAGACTGAAAGCATTAAATTACCACAAAAAACTTGAATTTATCTGAAAACAGCTGAACTGCGCTAAAAATGCTAAAAAAGTAATTGACAAGGTAGAACAAGCTTCAATTTTCAGAAGAAAGCAGAAAGAGCACATTTGCTGAAAGAAGCAGAAATGAGCTAAAAAAAAAGTGTATATTAGCTGAAAACAGCTGAAATGAGCTAAAAATGCTTAAAAAGTTAGCTAAGATGTAGAACAAGCCTAAATTAGCAGAAGAAAGCAAAAAGAACATATTTGCCTAATTAGGCTGAAAGAAGCAGAAATGTGCACAAAAAGTGGGAATTATCTAAATAAAAAAGCTGAAATTAGCAAAACAAACAAACAAACAAAAAACAAACAAACAGCTGGCTTAAAAGACAGAAAGAAGCTAAAATTACCAGAAGGAAGTGGAAAGAGCACATTTTTGCTGAATAAACCCCCCAAAGTTTAAATTATTGCAAAAAAAAAAAAAAAATTTAAAAAGTGGAATTAGCTGAAAAAGCATAAATTAGCATAAAAACTGATACCAGTGTAAAATAGCTGAAATAGTAGAAAAAGCTGAAACTTGCATAAATCAGCTGAAATTAGCAGGAAAAAGTTAGAAGCACAAAAATGTAATTAGCTGAAAGAATCTGAAAGGAGCACAAAACAGCTGAAAAACAGCTGAAAGTATTTGAGTCGCTGAAAAAAAACATGTTAAATTTGCAGCAGGAAGCTGAAAGAAGCTGAAGCAGAACAAAATGTGAAAGGAGCAGTAAAAGGTTGTAAACAGAGCTAAAGATTTGAAGGATGTAAAATGAGCT